ACCCCCCCCCCACAACACACACACCCCACCCAAAAAAAATCACTAGAAAATTAACTCCTAATTTTTGAATATATAAATTTTATTTAAAAAAATTTATGTCCAAATATTTAGTCAAAGTTAAATCGTTGAACTCCCAGGAGTAATACCCCCCACCCAAAAAAAATCACAAGAAAATTTGACTTCTAATTTTTAAATATATAAATTATATTTTAAGAAATTTTACGAATTTATGTCTAAACATATAGTCAAAATTAAATTGTTAGACTCTCACTCTCTCAGGACTAATAAATGTCACATAAATTGAGATGAGATAGTATTAATCACATATCCCCCCCACTCCCACCCACAACCACATACCCACCAAAAAAAATCACTAGAAAATTCGATTCCTGATTTTTAAATATATAAATTCCATCTTAAATTTTTTAAAGAATTTATGTTCAAATATATAGTCAAAATTAAATTAATAGACTCTCAGGGATAATAAATACCACATAAATTGAGACGGTTAATATTAATCACATAACCCCCTCCCCGCCACAACACCCCACCCAAAAGAAAATCACTAGAAAATTTGACTCCTAATAAATAATTTATATCCAAATATATAGTCAAAATTAAATTATTGGACTTTTACGAGCAATAAATGTCACATAAATTGAGACAAAGTAATATTTAATTTCATCACAAACCCCCCCACCCCCTCCTCAACCCAAAAAAAAATCACAAGAAAATTCGATTCCCTTTTCTAGATCAAGAAGAATCTTTTTTTTTTATTACTTATATAAGTAGGGAACTTTACCATTTTAAAGAAAATACTCCAAATAATTATAATTTCTTAGAGGCAAAGAAAAACAAAAGGAGGGAAAAAGAAAAAAGAAAAAAAGTTTTAATTTTTTCAAGAATCTATGTGTATATAAGGAAAAAAAAAAGTCCCATTTGAGTGAACTGTCCAACAAGTGGAGGAATTTTGCTGTTTGAGGAAGGTGATTCTTGTTTCCTTCTTCAGAAACAACTGTTACTTCAATTTTATCAATTTAATTTTGCCTTCAATTTAGGGTTCTTTTACCAGGTTTGATTCCTATATATATTCTGTGGTTAAAAAACACAACTTTGGTGTTGAGACAGAGTATCTTTAAGGTATTGATTGATAGATTGATTATGATTTGGTGTTTTTGGTGATTTGGGTGTTTTTAGTTTTGGCTTTATTTTACAAAGATTTGATTTTTATGATGTTAGATTGGGCTTTTAAGAGTTTGATTGGATTTTGGTTTCTTGATTGTTGGATGCTTTGTTTATTTTTGCTGAGTTTGGGGGATGGTTTATGTCCATTTTCCAAAGATTTCATTTTAGTGTTGGATTGTGCTTAAGAGGTTTGATTGGATTTTGGTTTCTTGATTTTGGATACTTTGTTCATTTTGCTGAGTTTGGGGGATGGTGGTTATGTCCATTTTCCAAAGATTTCATCTTTAGTGTTAGAGTTTGATTGGATTCTGGTTCTTGGTTTTTGGGTACTTTTTTGTTCATTTTTGCTGAGTTTGAGGGTAGGTTATGTCTATATCCAAAAGATTTCATTTTTAATGTTAGAGTTTGATTGGATTTTGGTTCTTGGTTAGTGGATACTTTTTTGTTCATTTTTGCTGATGTGGGGGTTGGTTATGTCCATTTCCAAAGATTTCATTTTTAGTGTTAAGAGTTTGATTGTATTATGGTTCTTGGTTATTGGATACTTTTTTGCTGAGTTAGGGGGTTGGGTATGTCTATTTACAAAGATTTTGTTTTGAGTTTTGGGGGTCTTTATAGTTTGGTTCATTTACAAAGATTTCATTTTTAGTGTTAGATTGTGCTTAGAGTTTGATTGGGTTTCTGTTTCTTGATTGTTGGATACATTCTTCATTGTTGCTGAGTTTGGGGGTTGGTTATTTCCATTTACAAACTTTTGGTTTTGGGTTTTTGGGTCTTTATAGTTTGGTCCATTTACAAAGATTTCACTTTTTATTGTTAGATTATGCTTAGAGCTTGATTGGATGTTGTTCTTTTGGTTATTGGATACTTTATTCTTTTTGCTGACATTTTGGGTGTTGATTATTCGTGTGGATCTTGCAGTTTTTTTTTTTGTGAAGACGAAGAAGAAAATGGCATTGGGGAATGATTGTGATAATTTGGGGTTAGGCATTGTGAGGAGTACCTCATTTGGGCGAAAAAGAGTCACTTTATCAAACACTGGTGACGTCAATTTCGTTTCAACGACACCAACGAAGAGAATCTGCAGCCAGACCTCGTTTTCTACAAACGACAAATCTGACCTTGAGACGTTGCCTAAAGATCTCTTGGTTAGTTCATAATTTGTTTCCTTTTTGTGTTTCTTATATTTCTGTTCCCGCGAGGATCAATAGTGTTCCCCCTTGCCCTACCGGTTGTTGGTGGAGGTTCTCAGCCACATGAACAAGCCTCACTTGTCATCTTTCTTATGTGCTTTGTGTTATTTGTGCCAATTGTTCATGTTCATATTCATGCTGTCTCAAATGTTATATCGCTTTTATAGTTCAAAATTGTAACAGTATGTGTTTCCTTTTACACATTATTATGCAGATAAAAATAGTATGTCGAGCTGATCACGATGATTTGAAGAGTCTGTTTCATGTATCAAGGACACTTAGGGAAGCGGTAAGCTTTAATTATCATTGAAGTATTGTTATATATTTCGTAATGAATGAAGTGTTAATTAGTTGAATGAAGCATTGATGCACTTCTGTTTTTCCTTATGTATGATCAGTCCTTGATTGCAAAAGGGTGGCATTTCGACTTTAGCACACCAAGAAAGACACTTCCTTTTCGAGATGCTCTTGATGTGGAGGAGTTAGGTGATATCGATGAGGAAGAAAAAGCGCCAAATGCTCCAATGCAGTCGAAAATTGCAAGGTCTCGGTTTAACAGAAAGAAGCTGGCTGACATCTCTGTAGCCTTGTTTACAGACAGTTAGGCCAAGGAAATTGAGGTATATATAAAACTCAAAACAGATTATGTATAGGTATTGTTATAGGAGAAACTCAGAAAGGATATCGTAGACGAACGAAGGGCTTGATCGAATGCCCTTGAAGATCATTTACCACCTTTGGAAATTGTTTTATAGTAGAAACTCAGAAAGGATATCGTAGACGAACGAAGGGCTTGCCCTTGAAGATCATTTACCAGCTCTGGAAGTTGTTTTATAGTAGAAACTCAGAAAGAATATTATAGACGAACGAAGGGCTTGCCCTTGAAGATCATTTACCATCATAGACGAACGAAGGGCTTGCCCTTGAAGATCATTTACCATCATAGACGAACGAAGGGCTTGCCCTTGAAGATCATTTACCATCATAGACGAACGAAGGGCTTGCCCTTGAAGATCATTTACCATCATAGACGAACGAAGGGCTTGCCCTTGAAGATCATTTACCATCATAGACGAACGAAGGGCTTGCCCTTGAAGATCATTTACCATCATAGACGAACGAAGGGCTTGCCCTTGAAGATCATTTACCACCTCTGGAAGTACATTGAGTAGAGACTGTAGTAGGAACTCAAAATGGATATCTAAGTCAAGTGAAGGGGTTGATCAGATATCTTAGCGGGAAGAACAGATCGGATGGTTTCTTTGACAATTACTTAACCAACTCTGGAAGGACATGAAGTGGAGAATTGTCATCGGATTTGATCATTGATAGACGAAGCTCTCTCCTTATCATGTCATTCCCTTATGCGGTTCGCGCCCAATGGAAGTCCCAATCGAAGGTTAGACTAGGCAACCACAATGGCTGAAAAGGAAGGGAACGAACGGACCAAGTACAATAGCAACGCGAACGGCCACACAAGAATCTTTACATAAAGCCGTTGTTCTTTAAACCCTTTCATTGATGATTAGCTATGGCTTGTTTGTTCATGTTAATGAGTACATTCCATTAGAACTTTTCTTCTTGTAAATATGATAACTTTTGCCTTTCTCCTTTATCAATGCTACAGTTTCATGTTTAATGGAATGCAAGTAACTTTTGCTAGTCCACTGTTTCATTTTTTTTTGTGGTGAATCCCCCCTGTTAAGTAGTCATGCATTGTGATCGGAACGCTCAATTCTCGAGCAAATACAGTTCATTTGATCATTTCTTCGCAAGTACCTGTAGTAGCATTCAAGTTGTGTCTACGATTCATCATTAAGGCATCTTGAAAGTGAATCGTATTTCATGAATATGATATCTATGTAGTATGCTGTATGGAATATAAGTTGGGCATTTCTTGCCTATCAAGCAAAACTAGTGGTTTCTGGTCACGATCAGCTAAGGCTGAAGTTTCAGTAAAGAGTGTTTACACATTATATTCCATGAATATGATATCTATGTAGTATGATATGTATGGAATATAAATTGAGCATTCCCGGCCTATCAAGCAAAACTAGTGGTTTCTGGTCACGACCGACTAAGGCTGAAGTTTCAGTAAAGAGTGTTTTACACATCGTAATACTCATGATATCTATGTAGTATGATATGTATGGAATATAAGTTGGGCATTCCTGCCTACCAAGCGAAACTAGTGGTTTCTGGTCACGACCAACTAAGGCTGAAGTTTCAGTAAAGAGTGTTTACACGTGGTAGAACAAATATAGGAAAATTGAAATCAGTTCAATTCACCTTCACTTTCATCGTGTTTCCTTGAGAAAATCATTTACTTTTCAATAAGATTATATTCTATTCATGAAAAATATCTTTTTCATAACAAACACACCCTTAATTTCACGTCCAATTATATCAAAAGTGTGCTAAGATCTCTATCGAACAAAGTAAAGATAAGATTCATATGCATTCAATCCTATTCAGACTTCACGAGATATACCATTGTATTAAAAGTGATCCAAAGGTATATATTGTAAACAAGTTTTTTCACCTCGAACAAAGTAAAGATATGATTCATATACATTCGACCCTTTTCAGACTCCACGAGATATATCATTGTTGTTGTCATAATTATATAAAAGGCATGTGACTTTTGTGTATCCTGTCACATGAAAAAAAGGGAATCCTAAGCTGAAAAACAAGACAGACTATTTTTTTCACTGTTCACGTGTGGCACAACTATTTAGGTGGTACTAATAATTGGCTTAGGGAATAAGTTCCATTTTATTCGATTTTCTATTTTTTTTAAAAATAAATAGATTTGTCCTTCATTAAAAAAAAAATATTATTTAGTCTTGTATTTATCCTTGACTCATAACGAAGCTTCAACCTAAACCATAGTAAAATTTTAGGTGTCAATCGTAAAAGTAAATACGAGATGATTTATTAAATATAAAAATATTTAACGTAACAAAAAGATGACTCCCAATGAAACTTTAACCTAAACCTATTTTGATGCTTTTACCATTATCAACTTAGGTGTATTTGCTGGTTTTAGGAATTTCATTACTCAAAAAGATCACTTAACTTCTGCACTATTTCTCCCTACTAAAAAGAGTGATCTGAGTTTAGTAAAAATTATTTGTGTTACTATTTTTTTAACAACATTTAACTAACTCGACAATATTTAAGAGTGTAATCTAGTGATCAATACAGTAAGTTGAGAATCGTGAATATTCAAGTTCAAATTTAAGTAGAGATAAAGAAAAATACTAAATGTTTTTTTCTCAACTGCTTACCTTGATAAACATAGTTATCTATACATGTTACTGGTGAAATGTGATACGTGTCTCATGAAATTAATCAAAGTACTGACATAATATTGATCATAAAAGTGACAAATATCTCGTGCAGCGATGAAATAGTTGAATTATACATAACTGACATGAACATCAAGATTATATATATAAAACAAACAAGTATTTTATTAGTCCACATCAACTTTATTTCCTCAAATCCACATGTAATGAATCATTCCTACCACTTAAATTTGATAAAAAAAAAAAAAGTTGTATTATTGTATTGTCAAACACAAAAGAATGAGTATTTGACATGTGGGGTACATAACTTGTTATAATTATTATTGTAAAGATAATTTGCGGCCTTCATGCCATTTTTAAAGCCTTAATTGCCTTTAATCAGTAGTGAGTAGTAAAGTATTTGCCAGCTTTACTAACACTTTCGGCTGACACCTCTATTATGCTGGAAAAGGCATGACCGCACGAGTGGATGTACGTAGACTTCGAGTTGCGTCGGTTGATTCAGTTCAATTTGATTTTAAATTTATCTATTTGATTTATTAGTTATCGATCTGTAGATATGCTAATTGAATCATTATAAAACTATTAAAATATCAGTTTAGAAGTTATTGGTTATTGATCCTTACCGATTTAATCGTTAAAATTTCACGCAATTTAAAAAAAAATATAAATCACTTATTAGAAATAAGTTGACAAATCAAATAAATCATATACATGAGTTGATAGAATCTTCCTCAAAAGCAAATATTGGTATCTTGTACTTGTGGAATAGCTTGAAGTTTGAGGCAGTAAAAAAATGAAAGTATGAAACTAAACAGTTAGAAAAGAACTTTAGATGTTGAATGATATGACTTATGAGTATAATTTGCTAATTTTATATCGGGATATTGGTTAACTCGTTAAGAAATAGACCAACTGTTAAGAACTGATAATCCGAAAGAAAAAAATAATCAAAATCACTAAATCAATGACCCATTATTGATAAATCAAATATTTTTTTCAGTTTAAATTATTAGTTCGGATATGATTTTAAACATCCTTAGATCAAATTAACTTGAGAATTATGTGAAATAAAATAGATTTATAAGATCAAATATATTCTCGTCGTTATTAGTTGGGGTCAGGTTTACCCTTCTTTTTAAAAGGTTTTAATAATTGGAGGATGAATTTGAACATTCCACATAATTCAAAGATAAATTTGACTATTCTTCTTAACTTTTATTAGAAAAAATATATTGAGTGGGAATTAATCTCTAGTTCTTCAGGTAAATAAGTTGAACATCCAATCAAGTGCACTATTTAATTAGCTTTTTATAGTATAAGTGTCAGCATATAATATTATACCAATTTTAGAAAATATATACATAAAATACTTAATTTTATCAAAATTATCATAAGTTCACGTGTCTCGTATTCTAGCTAGAAGTATGTCCCTGCTTTCCACCATCATTGTCCTCATCACCTCCATCAGAATTTTCGATCTATCCTGTTCATTTGGAGGCTTGATAGATCCTTCGAGACTCGTCAATGACTTGGCTTCAGGTCGCGAATGAAAGTGCAAGACTCCCCACTTTTTCTATCATACAATTATATCAAACTATTCTATTTCATTCATTCTCCATTCCATTCAAAAATGATGTTAAAAGGGATACTTTGTTCGCCATGAAGTTGTCGGGCTCACCCAAGAACAAAAGAGCAACATCAATCTCATTCGGTTCCTAAGTAGCGACAATTGTCCTATAAAGACTCACCTTTTTTCCATTTTCTTTCTCTCTATCCCATTTCCACACCACCACCTACGCTATTAAAAGAAAATGAACTAAACGACTTGAACATGCGATATAGAATAAATTTTCAAAATGTCAATATTTTAGTATTTAATAGGGCTCCTTAGCCACATTTTCAATATTTATTAAAAATGTCAATATTTTCTTTTGTTATAGGGCTGATTATGTATTTTTTTTCATTTGTTTAATTTAAAAAAAATACAATTATATAATAACAGAAAGGAGAAAATCACTGGAGAGAATATTTCAAAAACTTTTAAATAGAGAGATATTGAGATACATTGTTAGGACATAAATACAAAATGTTTAATGGCATAAAGTTAGAATGAATGTTAATAAAAAGAAATACAAACAAAAATTATATATTATTCCATATAATTAGCCAGAAAGATACTATTGTGAACTACTAACTTTGTATCCATTGTCGAGGTTGAATACAATTTGATGACAAAAATACAAAATTAGTAGACATACAATTAGAATAAATACAAAATACAAAGCAATATAACAAAATAATATGTTGTATTCCACATAATCCCCACAAAATAATATTATGTACTACAAAAGTTGTATCTAAACAAAAATTATGTTGTATATATTTCACACAATCAACTGCAAAGATACTATTATGATCTACTAATTTTGTATCCACTTCCGAGGATGAATACAATTTGAAGATATAAAAACAAAATTAATAGGCATAGAGATATAAGAAATACATAAATATGTTGTATCCCACAGAATCCCCAACAAAATGATATTATGAACTACAAAAGTTGTATCCAATTCATAGTATGAAAACAAAATGAAAATAAGATTACAAAACTTGATGTCATACAGTTAGAATGAATACAAAATTTATGTATAAAAACCAATGAAAAACTGATAAATACACTAAAGTTTAGTTTTTTTTTTTTTTTACAAAAAGGAATACATATTGTATTCCCGGATTATTTAAATTTGAAAGGGAACAAGGAAATACATATGCACATAAAACAATTTTATCTTCATGAAGTTGTTCATCCACCATTTGATCTTCATCAGTCTTTTCGACTTCACTATCGGTAGACGAAGAGTCTATCGTTTTCTTTTTCTTTTATTGTTTGTGTCCTTGCTCTTGATGATGTTTATATTCTGTAATTGAGGAAGGTTTTGCATACAAATAGGATCATGTAGATGCTTAGATCTGCTTTCTTCCGCCATTTTAGCCGTCAATCCCACATTATCGACTTGTCCTTGAGTGATACAAAGATCAAAAGACGAAAAATCGCTAAAAATCGATCATTACATGGAACCTCTTCCTCTTTGAATCCGCCATTAGAGATGAATTTTGAATTTTTCCTTATCAAAAATCCTAATCGAAAATAGAAGATTTACTAAGTAATTATAACAAATATATTAAAAGGTTTAAACGGATGCAAATCAGTAAAATACACAAAAATCGAAAAAATATATATATCTAAATCAATGAGATTGTTGTGAATATCTTTTGGAAGATTTTTACCAATTTCTGAAAATAATTGAAAAAAACGTCACCTATCAAAGAGAGAGAGAGAGAGAGGAGGAA